ATGAGTCAGATAAAAAAACAATCATAATACAGGACACAATATAAGTCTCGGTTTCCAGATTGCAGGCCCTAAACAGAATTTCCTTTTTTTTTTTAAAGATTATGTATGTATATATGTATGTATGTATGTATGTATTTGAGAGACAGAGAGAGAAAAAGAGAGCACAGGGGTGAAAGGGGAGGTGAGGTGGGAAGGAACAAGCCGACTTCCTGAGCTCAGAGCTGGAGGCAGGGCTTAATCTCAAGACTGAGATTCTGACCTGAGCTAAAATCAAGAGTCCAGTGCTTAACTGACTGATCCACCGAGGGGCCCCAGCATTTCCTATTACAAGGAAACACAATTCCTTGGAGGAAATGGTCATTCTGATTTTGGGGCAGGATGCATCCAGGTGTCTTGTCACACCAGAAATCAAGGAAACTACCAAAGACTAGGAGGGTCAAGTCAAAAGGACTGAGAAGGTACCAGATTAGAAAGAGGCTCTTGCTGGCCAAAAATTGAACAATTTGAACATCAGTAAAATAACTGCCATCAATTAAAGCATATCAAGGGGCGCCTGAGTGGCTCAGTGGGTTAAAGCCTCTACCTTCGGCTCAAGTCATGATCCCAGAGTCCTGGGATCAAGCCCCACATCAGGCTCTCTGCTCAGCGGGGAGCCTGCTTCCCCCCTCTCTCTGCCTGCTTTCTCTGCCTACTTGTAATCTCTGTTTGTCAAATAAATAAATAAAATCTTTAAAAAAAAATAAAAAAGCATATCAAGTATGTTAAAATCCACCAAATTATCATGAATCAACACTAAAAATGACATATTTACTGGCCACCTTTGGAGAGAGCTAGGGAACCAATTATAATTTTTGAAAATGTGTATATAAATAAAGGGGAAGGGGGTGCCTGGGTGGCTCAGTCGGTTAAGTATCCAACTCTTTGATGTCAGCTCAGGTCATGATCTCAGGGTTATAAGATCAAGCCCCGAGTCCAGCTCCTCACTCAGTGGGGAGTCTGCTTGAGGATTCTCTCTCTGCCCCTTACCCTGCTGTCTCATAAATAAATAAATAAGTGGAAAGACTCAAGCACTTATCTGCCTTTTCTGTAGGAATAGTATTCAGGATACCAAGTGTTAAGACAAGTTTCCTTCTTTAGAGGTATTCCAGCTAATGAAAAAGAAATGATAGAGTATAAACATTTTGCAAGAATCCCAATGAAATTATACATGTAGGCAGAAATTATATTTTGCTGCTAACATCAAAAGACAGAGCAACAAATAGACATTGTGTACCGTTCTAGAGCTGATTATCAGTTTACATTAAATACAGGGGCGGGAAAGGACCTTGTTAAATGACGGAGATGCATCAGCAAAATTCAGAATGTGGCAGAACCTACAGAACACATGGCCTGGCTTCTACACAAAATAAGTTGCAAGGTAGGAATTCCTCTAGAGGCAAATTTGCCAGCATATAATAAAACTACATATAAAATAAAATTTTAAAATTACATATGCACTTACCTTTTGGCCAGCCATCCCATTTCCAGGAATATACCTTGAAGATACACCTCCAACAGTATGAAAATACATATACGCAAGGTTCCCCACTGTAGCCTTGTTTAACTGCAAAATACTGGAAACAATCTACGTGCCCGTATGTTAGTAAGAAGAAAAGGGTTAAATAAACTACAGTGTTCCACACAATGGAGTACGATGTGGTTATGAAACGAAAGGAGTTAAGATTTCTATGAACTGACGTCATTTCCAGAATATGCCATTAAGGAAAAAACAGCAAGGTGTGAAGAAGTGTCTATAGGATAACATCCTTCATGTTGATACCCTGGTTTTGATCCTTGTACTATGTTTACATAAAATGTTACCATTGGGGGGTTGCCTGGGTGGCTCAGTGAGTTAAGCCGCTGCCTTCGGCTCGGGTCATGATCTCAGGGTCCTGGTATCGAGCCCCGCATCGGGCTCTCTGCTCGGCAGGGAGCCTGCTTCCTCCTCTCTCTCTGCCTGCCTCTCTGCCTGCTTGTGATCTCTCTGTCAAATAAATAAATAAATCTTTAAAAAAAAAAATGTTACCATTGGGAAAACAGAATTATTCTAAGGAATCAGTGAAATGAAAATGTCTGTCTTTCAAGTATTAATGTTCCTCAGGATTGCTTCCTAAGCTTTGTCCCAGGGAGGTCTTACGCATTTCCAGGTGATGGACAAGCAGGCAAAGATTTACACAAGGACATTCATTTTAGAGTTATTTATATATAATAGTGAGAAATTGTAAATAACTAACATGGTCATCTACAGTCCTATTTAGATAGTGGCGGGGCACCTGGGTGGCTCAGAGGGTTAAGCCTCTGCCTTCAGCTCAGGTCATGATCTCAGGGTCCTGGGATCCAGCCCTGTCGAGCTCTCTGCTCAGCAGGGAGCCTGCTTCCCCCACTCTCTCTGCCTCCCTCTATGCCTACTTGTGATTTCTGTCAAATAAATAAATAAAATCTTAAATAAATAGAAAGTGGCATACCCATACTATGGGATCCCATGTAGTCATCAAAAATGTTTTAAGATCTGTACTTACTGAAAAGCATGCACATGTAGACAAGGAAAAAGCAATTCACAAAACTGAATGATTCAAATTTTTAAATGAATTCTTGGAAGAGATGCTCACAAAAAAGGTTATATATGTAGGGACTATTACTTTTTCTGTTTGGATTTTTACACTCATAATTTAATTACTCTTAAAAAATTTCAGGGGCACCTGGGTGGCTCAGTCATTAAGTGCCTGCCTTCAGCTCATGTCATGTTCCCAGGGTCCTGGGATTGAGTCCCACATCGGGCTCCCTGCTCAGTGGGAGGCCTGCTTCTCCCTCCCCCACTCCCAGTGCTTGTGTTCCCTCTCTCTCTGTCTCTTTCTCTGTCAAATAAATAAATAAAGTCGTTAAAAAAATTTTCTTTCACAGTAAGTCTCAATTTTAGGAAAAAAGCCACCAAAAGCATACATACGAAATACTATTATCTTTATTCTGGCATAAAGCAGTATTTTATACATTAACTCAATTTTACAGAAAAAGCATTTTATGTACAATTGTAAAGAAACTGTTGCACAGATAGCTCCAATGTAAAAATGGATCGTACTTTAAAAGTTCATTGAGTTTGATACATTGGAAAATATTTTCTTTGTAGAAAATAGTAAAAACCACACTTCCCAGGCTAGCCTAACAAGCCCATTAAAATCAAGTAATAGTGGGATTACAGATTTATAAATATGGTGTGGATTCCAGGATCCAGGAGAAAGTTCAGCTTCACTTAATGAAACATCCATGTATTCTTTGTATGAAGTGAAATTCTCATGAATCTTCCCCTTACTCTCGATTTCTGCTTGAATATTTTTCTGTAGGCTAATCCATAATCCACATCAAGGTTTTAACTGCTCCTTCCTAAAAGACAGGTACCATACCTTATCTGCTTGATAAGGTATCCATTCCTATCCAAACTGAAATACTTTGGTTGTTATTAAAATATGCTCAGTACTTGAGCAAAACCAGAATCTAATAAATTATCATCTACACAGCATGTGAGTGGTCAGTCATCAACTTCTGAATCCCTGTGGCTTGATAGGAAGCCATGAGGAGTGGGAGGAAAAAGTGGTAAAATGGACAAGTTGATCAAGAAAATAAGAGAAACATCCCAGGACTGAGGGACAGAACTGAAGTCCCGAGTAAGGACACACCGCCTCAAGCATCAGAGAGCTGAGCTGGCTATCGAACGCCTTACTGCAAAGGTCACACAGAGTTAGGTTAAAAAAAAACGCGATCCAGTGAGAGAAACCAGGGCTTAAAAAGATTTCAATTTTTCAAATGTAATCAAATGAAAACAGAACCAGCCATATTATTTTAACTTCTCCTATCAGCTTATTCCCTGAGATTCTCAGTACAGAATTTCTAGGAATTAAGGCAAGAAAACAATGCCATTCTTGAGCTCCTGCACTGTGCAGAAGTTTGGAGGAAGTAATATTTGAGAACTCGGAGTTACATGGCAAGGGGCTGTATTAAGTTCTTCAGTTCCCTCAAAGCAACAACTTAAAATAACCACATAGAGATTGTCCTAAAAGGAAGTCTCCAAGCAGCTAAAACCTTTCAATGGAATAGCAGTCATACAGAAACAGGTCCTATACAGTGGTTATAGGAACTAGGCCTCTGAGAAACCACACTGGATCATTCTACCTAGAACCCCAGTTTACCCAATAGAAGTTAATCTCTAGAAACATTAATGACCTGCTGTTTTTAACAGGAAAAGAATGCTTTATCATGTGTCTTCACTTGCTCCTCTCTTTGCTCTCAGAGATGTAGGTTTCCTTCTCACAGGTGAAAAACATTTTTGGTGGTTTCCTGACTCTTGTCAGCGATGCAAATCTCTGCCCCCCACTCCCTTAATTCCTTCTTGGTAAATAATGTTAAGCTTCCAATAGGAAGTGGAGTACCTTGTCATTGAGCGCCTATATTATTCAGCCTCTTTACTTACAAAGAAAGTTCTGGAGCCTTCTTACTACAGTTGGAATTCCTTAAAGACACTTGCTTTTTATTAAAATATTTTCTATATATATATAGATAGATAGATAGATAGATAAAATCTGTGAAGAATTCACCAAAGCATGAATCACACCTTACATTAAGAAGTTAAAAATGCATCAAAACATACATAAGGATGGCTAACCTATATGTCTCCCATCAAATGTATCACCATCGTCCAAACTTAGAGCATGTGCTGCCATAAATGCATTACTTACCAGCTAAGTTTGAAACCTTGCCTCCAAACATGGCTCAGGACTAATTCTCCGAAGACAGGCTACAGGAACACTGAGTCACTGGCAGGCAGGGGGCTGAGGAATGCCAATTACAGAGCCGAGGCTGGACTGCGCACATCGCCTCTCCAGAGACCGCAGCCTTCCCCACAGGTATCCAGGGAAGGACACCATTTAAGTATAGAGACGGTCAACTTAAAAATATGGGCCAACACATGCTTGATTTTTATCTTATAATCTAGAGACAATGTATCAGAATAAAAATGTAATGAATTCATACACCTTTTCAAAAAAGAAACTGGATACAGAAGTTGCAATCATTATAAGTGATTATCATCAGATGAAATAATTTCCACAAAGCTTGTCTCTCTGGGAGAGATGGGGACAAGGCAAGTGGTCAGGAAGGAAACCCATGTGCTTTTCACCTTGTAGGAAAATGAGTGTTCGGTTCCATGTTGCTGCATAAATCCTCTACTTCAAATTACTGTCCGAATGCTTTACTGAAACTCCGCTTCTGGCCTTTGTTTTGGGATCTGTTACTTTTGTTGCCACCTCCTGATCGCTGTCCTCTGAAGCCTCGATTTCCTTCCCGCTGTCCCCTGAAGTTTCTGTTTCCTTCCCGCTGTCCTCTAAAACGACTGCCTTCCCGCTGTCCCCGGAACCCTCGACTGCCTTCTCGCTGCCCCCGGAAGCCTCGATATCCTTCCCGTGGTCCTTCCAGCTCTGGCTGCTCCGTGGCGACCGAGAGCTGCCAGCGCCGTGAATCATGCCATTTTTCCTGCAGAGAGATGGTCGTCTTTTTACCTGCTCTTTTACTGAATTCAGTTATTAAAAAAAACAACAGAAAATCCTTTTTTTTTTTTTTGCTTTTTCTCTAAAGAAAAACCTGACTGATAACCTAAGTATTTAAAAGGTCACTGGTTGGAAAAAATACCACCTTCATGGCCTGAAAGCCAGTCCTGGCAGTGTAAGAGAGTTTCACTATGAGAGGTACCTTCATCACTGTATCATTTATTCAATTCAATTACTCCCAGGTATCCACAGCTATCAATAAGAGAGTAAAACATGCAAATAAACCACATATAAACCCATTTCTCACAGCAGTACTGAATGAAGATCTAGGAATTTAAAAAATGTCTATGTAAGCCCCATACAACATACACAGGGGAAAAAAAGCTAGATGTTGTGCACCAGAAAGGAAAGAAGGAAAATAGGCAGGCTGAGTAAGAAAACTATCAGAGTAAAAAGGCTAGGAGAAAAAATACTAAAATTCATTAATTCTAATTGTCTTTTAGAAAAGGGACTAGAGCTCTTGTTTCTCTTTCCATTATTCTGTATTTTCAGCAATGAACACATTTTCTTAAAAAGATCTTCCTTCCCTCCCTCTCTCCCTCTTTTTCTTTCTCTCCCTCTTTTTCTTCTGAGAAAGAACATGAGCAAGGGGAGCGGGGAAGGGAAAGAATCCCAAGCAGACTCTGAGCTCAGAGCCTTACACGGGCTCAAGCCCACGACCCCAAGATCATGACCCAAGCCCAAGTGAAGAGTCAGATGCTCAACCAACTGAACCACCCAGTCGCCCCAGTAATGAACATTTTATAATTTAAATATTCAAAATCCAAGAGATAAGAATACCTGTATTTCTGTTACTGCTGCAGTAGGGACATCAAAGCAAACACCCTAAAAATCAAAACAAATGCAAGTTAACCCAGCCTTTCACCAGAACTGTGTATGTACATTAAGTGATATTCCAAAAGACCAGGTATTAACATTAAAAATCAGAAACAAAGACTCCGAGTATTAATTTTTGATAAACTTTAGAATAAGACCAATAAATTATACCTCCCAAAGGCACAACAGCAAAAACCCAAGGATATCTGGGACTCAAATATCCTCAAAAAAGTACTCAAAATGACTCAGAACTGACCAGAGATCATTCTTGGCTATCACACTTTGCTAATTCCTCAAGCAGCCATTAGCTACGTTTTAGAGCTGAGGAAACAGAGGTTTGTAGAGGCTGACTTATCAAAGGTCCCCAGCTCATGAGCAGAGCAGGTTTTTTTTTTTTTAAAGATTTTATTTATTTTATTTGACAGACAGAGATTACAAGTAGGCAGAGAGGCTGGCAGAGAGAGAGAGGAGGAAGCAGGCTCCCTGCTGAGCAGAGAGTCTGATGCAGGGCTCGATCCCAGGACTCTGGGATCATGACCTGAGCCAAAGGCAGAGGCTTTAACCCACTGAGCCACCCAGGTGCCCCAGCAGAGCAGGTTTTAAAAATCTGGTCAGTATGGCTCCAAAACCAATGGTCTACATTAAAATATGCTGCCTTCCATAAGAAAGTATCTTTAGGATGACCTACTAAAAGTAGAAAAATAAATGATTTTTTTTAAGAGAAAGGGAGGGAGGGGTGGGTGAAGGAGAGAGAGAGAGAGAGAATCTTAAGCAGGCTCCACACCCAGCAGGGAGCCCAAAGCGGGGCTTGATCTCATGACCCTGAGATCATGATCAGAGCTGAAACCAAGAGCTGGACACTTAACCGACTGAGCTACCCAGGAGCCCCCAAATAATTATCTTCTATTGTTACTTTTCTAGCTTTTCACAATTCATCCTGCTATAAAAGTTTTTAATTTTTTAAATTTTGTTATTTTTTAAAGATTTTTTTATTTATTTATTTGAGAGACAGAGATCACAAGTAGGGAGAGAAGCAGGCAGAGAGAGAGGAGGAAGCAGGCTCCCCGCCGAGCAGAGAGCCCGATGCGGGGCTCGATCCCAGGACGCTGAGATCATGACCTGAGCTGAAGGCAGAGGCTTTAACCCACGGAGCCACCCAGGCACCCCTAAAAAAGTTTTTTAAAAAAACTAGGGGCATCTGGGTGGCTCAGTCAGTCAGGTGTATGCCTTTGGCTCAGCCCATGATCCTATGGTCCCGAGATCAAGTCCCACATCTGGCTCCCTGCTCAGTGAGGAGTCTCCTTCTCCCTCTTCCTCTCCCCCAACTCATGCTCTCTCTCAAAAAAAAAAAAAAAAAAATTATTTATTTGAGAGAGAGAGAGAGAGAGCATGAGCAGGGTGAAGGGCAGAGGGAGAAGTGACCCCCTACTGAGCAGGGAGCCTGATGTGGGACTCGATCCTGGGACTCCAGGATCATGACCTGTGGCCAAATGCAGACTCTTAACTGACTTGAGCCACCCAGGTGCCACTCCCTCCCCTGCTAAAAAAAAATCTAAAAAAAAAAAAAAAAAAAGTAAAAACACTTTATAGGACAGTAGCAGTGCCATCACCTCCAGTTAAGGAGATCCTATTTCTTGGTTTTCACAAATATAACTGAACTACCCTGCATGTCACAGGCACTCCTCCCTCCTGGCTGCCTTAATTAAAATATTTTATGAGGAACACCTCATTTCTATCCAATTATAACCCCAGGTAACATGAGATACTGATGGATTCTGCAATTAGTGGGATTCTTCATTCATCTATTTTTTTTAAGTTCATTTATTTATTATATCTACACCCAACGTGGGGCTTGAACTAACGACCCTAAGATCAAGAGTCGCGTGCTTTACCAACTGAGCCAGCCAGGCACCCCTTCATATATTTACTAAGTATTTAACACCAGGCACTCACTGGAGTACAATGATAACTAGAATATTGTTTTTGCCCATGAGTACATCAGAGTGTTCTTGAGGCTCTCAGTCAGAAAGCAAGCATAGCAAGGTAAGATTTAGCTCAATAAAGGCATGCCCTACGGACTCTGAAGTCCAGATAAAGATGGCCTAACTCCACCGTGTGGCCAGGGAAGCTGCACAGGGAGACTTAGGGCCAAGCCACGTCGTAAAGGATAACGTGGGGGAAAGAGAGACTGTAAACACTGGGTTGAGCCTACACTTAGGATGACAGAAAGCAAGGTGTGCTTGGCACGGCTGGAGTAGAGGGTACTGGCAGTGAGGACACAGAGAGGAAGGTGGTCAGGGGAGCAGAAGCCAGCTCATGGAGACTCCTATCCTCCATGTGAAAGCTGAGACTAACTCATACAGTATGTGGAGTGGCTTAAGAAGATGAACACAGACATGCAGCCAGCTGACAATACACCTGATCTGGTTCACTACGCCAGTGGCTCACAAAATATAGTCCACAAAGTGCTGGAAACCTGAGATCTTTCAGGGAGGTTCCACAAAGTCAAAACTATTTTCGTAACAATACGAAAATGTTAGGTGTCCTCTCCACTCTCCTTCTCTCACAAGCACCCAGCGGAGTTTCCCAGACACTGTATTACATGTGATGGTGTCACTGCTCTGATGGCTAATGGAATGACAGGCTTAGGTTTTAGAGCTCCAGTTTTAATTTCTGATACTGTAAACATTAACAGATATAACCCACAAAAATAAAAGCTTTTTGGGATCCCCAACATTTATTAAGCACATAAAAGCGTCAGGATACCAAAATGTTTGGGAACTGCTGTGCTTATGCATACCACTAACTGAGAGCAGGACTCAAAAGAAAGAACATCAGGTTCGGAAAGCCAAGATTTTAAATTTCAGCTTTGAATTAAAAATTTTGCATTCAATTTTGAATGACTTTCAGTTGCCCAAAAACCCCAGCTGGGTAGAAATCGTCACGGAAGCAGCTGGATATTCACGTCCGGCATGCCATGCATACATCAGGGTAGACACACAGATGGGGTAGCTGTCAGTGACTTAGTGGCAACTGAAGGTCATGGATGACATGCCCGGAGAAGACTATCTAGAGAGCAGAAAGATGCAGCACCTCACAGAACAGGGAGAAGCCTCCATTCGGTGCTTTATCAACCACATTAAGCTACTGAACCAAAGCAAGGTCACAACAGAGGCCCCAACGGTCCTTACCTGCTTTCCTTTGAGAAAAACCATTCCTTTCACTTTGGAATCAATATCCTCACTCAGCTGCTCTTTAAGCTCTTTCCAAGCATAACTAATGTTTGGCATTTCAATTGAGCATCGTAAGATCATGGTCACAAAGCCCTTACAGAAGAAAGGAGAACAAAACTCAGTCTCAAAAACAAATCTAACTGATAAAAAAAATTACCCTCATGTTTCTAAAATATTTCCAGAAAAGTTCTTCCTAAAAGCCTATACCTCCCCTCCACTGACACATACACACAAATCAGTACCAGTAAAACTGGGGAACTCAGAATAAAATGGATGCATTGTGTCAATGTTAGTACCAACTCAGCTGTGATATTATAGCTTTGCAAGATGTTACTATGAGGGGGAAACTAGGCAAAGTGTAAAAGGGATCTTCCTCTCTCTGTTATCTCTTAAAACTACACGTAAACCTAAAATTGTCTCCAAAATTTCATTTAAAAAAAATTTCATTTAAGGAAAAAAGCATGTATCTTTCTAAGTTTCTAGGGAGATTGGCTAAATGTATCATATGCATTTATGTGGTTATATGGTTGGGGTTTTTCTTTCAGGGTTAAAAACACTGACATGTAATCCACACACCGTAACATTCACCGTTTTGAAGTATACAGTTCAGTATACTCACAAGGCTTCCACCATGACCACTGTCTAGAATTCCAAAATATTTCATTACCCAAAAAGAAACCACATGCCCGTCCGCACTCAATGTCATCCCCCTTAACTGAGACCCTGAAAACTACGAATCTACCTTCTATCTTTATGGGATTTGTTTACGTCCATCTATCTTCATACAAAAGCTAAAACAACAGAGACGTCTAACTGAACCCATTCAAACCCTGCTCACACTCAAATACCAAGGGTCAGAGTGACAGGAAGTCTTACTGCGTCTGAGTTGATCAGAGAGCGCTGGTCCACCGACGTGGCTCCTGAAATGTGGGCCAGAGCTGCTGCCAAGGCCTCCACGGCTCCCTTCTCCTCTATCAGCTTCTCTGCGGACTGCTTGAAGTGACTGATGGCAGTGGGAGGCACAGAATCCAAAAGCCTATGGTGTGATTGAGTGTATTTGTTAAGAGAAAGGACAGAAGTGGACAGATTGCGTTTTCAAGGCAACAGCATTTCAAGATAAACCAGGAACTTTCAAATCTTTCCGATCTCTAACACGTCATTTCAATGCGAGGTACAGACAGAATCATCACATTTCTGTACAGATAAATCCACTCCTTTGATTATGTCTAATCTGACTTTACTATCAAATAAAAAAAAAGTTTCATCCCAAGAAAATAACAAAACAAATATCAGGATGTTCACCAGTGTTAATTGTAATACAGAGCATAAAATGTGCATCGATATGGACTGATTAAATAAACCATGGAACAGATACAACAGAAGTAAGTCCATGCTGCCACTGAGAGTGTTGTTAATAAATGTTGAACATTTCTTACAATAAGCACGTATTCCTTTTAGAATCAGAAAACACTACAGCTACTTCCATTCTGAAATAAAAGGAAAAAAAGACTTCCAAATCATGTTAAAAATGATATGAACTTTTTATGAGAACACACATTTGTTAGAGAGTTACTATTATCTTGGTGATAATAAATGTCACATCTTCAGAGGAGGTCCACCACGACAAGGATAAACAAGGCCAGATGAGGCAGCCTCTTTTGGAAGGGCTGCCCCTCTACAAGATATCTCTTGGCATTTTGTCTCTTTTCTCCTTCCTGGCCACCTAACCCCAAATTTCCTTATCTAGTGTCACAAGGAACCCTGTCTACAGAATTATTTAAATAGGCCATGTGAGGGACACCCAGGTGGCTCAGTTGTTAAGCATCTGCCTTCGGCTTGGGTCAAGATCCCAGAGTCCTGGGATCAAGTCCCACACCAGGCTCCCTGCTCAGTGGGGAGTCTGCTTCTACCTCTCCCACTCCCCCTGCTTGTGTTCCCTCTCTGGCTCTGTCTCCTCTCTCTGTCAAAATGAATAAATAAAATCATTTGAAATAAATAAATAAATAGGCCATGTGAAAATAAACTTGAAAATTACTGAGTTATATTATTCTCCTTTGGAGAACTTTCTTGACCTATTAATTAATATGCCAATGTCTATCATTTCCTCTAATCATAAGCTCCCCCATTTCTATGCCCAGTGCAGAGCCCAATGCAGGGCTGGAACCCATGACCCTGAGATCAAGACCCAAGCAGAGATTAAGAGAGGATGTGGAGAAAAGGGAACCCTCTTACACTATTGGTGGGATCCAAGTTGGTGCAGCCACTTTGGAAAACAGTGTGGAGATTCCTTAAGAAATTAAAAACAGAGCTACCCGATGACCCTGCAATTGCACCACTGGGTATTCACCCCAAAGATACAGATATAGTGAAAAGAAGGGCCATCTGTACCCCAGTGTTCATAGCAGCAATGGCCACAGTCGCCAAACTGTGGAAAGAGCCAGGATAAGATGCCCTTCAACAGACAAATGGATAAAGAAGATATGGTCTGCATATACAATGGAATAGTACGCCTCCATCAGAAAGGATGAACACCCATCTTTTGCATCAACATGGACAGGACTGGAGGAAATTATGCTGAGTGAAATCAGTCAAGCAGAGAAAGTCAATTATCAACGGTTTCACTTACTTGTGGAGCATAAGGAGTAACATGGAGGACATTAGGAGAGGGAAAGGAAAAGTGAAAGTGGGGGGAATCAAAGGGGGAGATGAACCATGAGAGACTGCACGACTCTGAGAAAAAACAGGGTTTTGGAAGGGAGGTGGGGGATGGGTGAGCCTGGTGGTGGGTATTAAGGAGGGCATGAATTGCATGGAACACTGGGTGTGGTGCATAAACAATGAATTGTGGAAAACTGAAAAAATAAAATAAAAATTAAAAAAAGAAGAGTGGGCTGCTTAACGGACTAAGACATCCAGGCGCCCCCTCCCCCTATTTTTTAAGATAAGCATTACACATATTTATAATAGTTATGGAAAATAGTTGAAAAGTGATGCTCAGACTCAGTGGTTTTTTTTTTTTTTTAAGATTTTATTCATTTATTTGACAGACAGAGATCACAAGTAGGCAGAGAGGCAGGCAGAGAGAGAGGGGGAAGCAGGATCCCTGCCGAACAGAGAGCCCGATGCGGGGCTCGATCCCAGGACCCTGGGATCATGACCTGAGCCGAAGGCAGAGGCTTAACCCACTGAACCACCCAGGCACCCCTGGACTCAGTGGTTCTTAAGCAGGGAATGTAGGTCACCAGTTGGAAACACTGGAATATAGTCAGCACCTTCTGGTTTTCATAATACCAAGCCCACACACCCCCTCCAGAATATACCACACAGCCAGAGATGCTAAACAACTAACTATCCTTCAACTTGTAGCACAATCTCACCAAATAGTTCTCTTGCCCCCAATGCCAGTGACAAACACTGCTAGTTAATCTAATCTTCACCAACCAGAGATACCTTAAAAAAATAATCGACTCGTTCCTACCAACTGGGGGACTAGAATGATGACGACGTGGAATATAATCTCCGGCCCTAAACTCTACCTCCACATGGGAAGCATCCACACTGTATCTAATGTACGCTTCCTTAAAATGCCCAGACAAACCCAACTATCAGTAGTGGTGTCCTCTGGTGAACAGGATTGGGTAGGGATGAGTACAAGTTAGGATTTTTATTTTGTAGAATTTTACTTCAGCACAGTGTGAGTATAACAAGTAGGTTGTAAATAATTTTGAGAAATAAATAAAATAAAATCCAAAAGACTGAATCTCATTACTGCACAAAGTCAGGCAATAAATGGAGTAAGCACTACCATAGACCACAGCAGTGGTGGGAAACGTACCTGATGGCATCTTTGCTGGAAGCTTTTATTATCTCTGTTGCAGAAGGAACCCCTATTCGCTTAAATTTAATTCCCTACAAGAAAATGAGCCATAGTTTAATGTACCACCTGGCCATCAACTGTTTCCATTGAGATTAAATCCCCCAATTTTTTTTATATTACCAAACATACTTATTACACATTTAAAAGATAAACTTTAAAAAAAAGACAAACTTTTTTATCTTAGAACGGTTTTAGATTTATAGAAGAGTTGCAAAGGTATTACTCCACTGAGTTCCTGTACACTACACAGAGTCTCCCTATTATTACTACTACGGTACATTTGTCATAGCTAAGAAACCAACACGGCCACATCACTATTAACTGAATTCCAGAGTTCATTCATATGTCACTAGCTTTTCTATTAATGTCCTTTTTCTGTTCCAGTGACACCACAACATCAGGTATCATGTGTGCTCAGTCTCCACTGATCTGTGGCAGTTTCTGCCTTTTCTTATTTTTCATGCCCCGTGACAGTTTTAAGGAGTGCTGATCTTAAGGACTGCTGGTCAGGTATTTTGAAAAATGTTGTCCCTCACTGTGAGGCTATCTCTGGTTTTTTGCATGCTTAGACTGAGATTATGGGTTTGGGGGAAGAAAACCAGAGGCAAATGCGGTCTCATCACATCATTCTCAAGGCATATGCTTATCCCTGATGTTAACCACAATCACCCTGGCCGGGGAGTGCTTGCCTGCCTTCCGCACAGTAAAGTGCCCGCCTCCTGCTCCTTTACCAAGTCACCAAGTACAGTCAGCTCAAGGGGAAGAGGAGAGATTAATCTGTCAGAAAAATCAGTCTCCTTTCTCCCATTTTAAATTTATCCTTTTGGTGTTTTTGGTTTTTTTTTTAAAGATTTATTTATTTGATAGGGGGGCAAAGGGGAAAAGGGAGAGGGAAGGAGAATCCTGAAGCAGACTCACCACTGAGCCCAACACCAGACTTAATCCCAGGACCCAGATATCATGACCTGAGCCGAAATCTTGAGTCCGGGACTTAACGGAATGAGCCACCCAAGTGCCCCATCCTTTTGGTTTTTAAGCAATTCCTATAACCCCTTAATCTGGATTTAAAACTATCTGGGGTGTGTTCATGTTATCATTGTCTGAAAACTGCCTTCAAACATAAAAATAGCCCATGTAATTGTAAATATGAGAAAACAAAACCACTGCTTTCTAATGCAAACATGTTTCAAAATGGGCTTTATATTGTAGGACAGTGTATAAAAAACAACATGCAGGCACCTGGGTGGCTCAGCTGGTTAAGCAACTGCCTTCGGCTCAGGTCATGATCTTGGAGTCCTGGGATCGAGTCCCACATAGGGCTCCCTGCCCAGGAGGGAGTCTGCTTCTCCCTCTGCCTGCCCCTCCTGCCCTAGTGCGATTTCTCGCTCACTCTCAAATAAATAAATAAAATCTTTAAAAAGAAAAACAACAACAATTGCACCTACAAGTTTCCAGTTATGGCGACATGCTAGAAATACATACAATTTAAAGTTAATGTAAACTGAATTAAAAAAACAAAGATTGACTTTAGAATTCAATTCGACATTTGCTGAAAGAAGGCTAAGAAAACAGTTTTACCGCTTTTTGCTCCACTTGTGCTAACTGATATTCTTCCTTGTGCTGATAAAAGCAGATGCAAATCCCAGTCCTTCCAGCTCTACCTGTCCTCCCAGAACGATGAATGTAGGACTCCACGTCCTATTGAAGTAAAATACATGAGTGACACTGAACAAAAAAAAGACAAAGACCTGAGTGGTCTACGCAGAGGCAAGTATGGTGGTTCCCCAGCATTGCTAAAGTAAGAAATTGTCACAATTTTTAAAATCTCTGTAGCAGTGGTCCCTAACCTATGGGCAAATCTGCAAAAGGCATCTACATAGTGTTATGCTACAGAACCACACATGTAATTTCGATCTTCAATTTTCTAGTAATCCGCTAGAAGTTTCAATCAATAACTTAATATATCTCCAAGTTTTATCACCTCAACATGCTATCTACAGGAAACAGCTTATCACTGAGATATTTTACATTTTTTTTAAGTCCTCAAAATCCAGTGTACATAATAGAAAGTTTAAAACATAAAAAAAGCCCAACGTGTACTTTCTACCTCAAGCACACGTCAATTCCGACAACTCCCAGAGCCTGACCGCTAACGTGGCTGTGGCCATCGTACCGGACAGCACAGCTCAAGAGGCTCCTTTAAACAGCATCTGTGTCACAAACCCATCGGACTGCCTTTGTAAGAATCGGAGCCTCCAGAGTAATCAGGTTACTTTTCTCTATCATTGTCAACAACCTTTTAATCTTGAGGCATCTGCCAATTTGTGGGGATCCTCATGTTGGAAGTGACAGGAACAGAACAGGCTCCTTCAGACCAACATTTATCAACGCGAGGCACTGTCCTCACCACGTAACTCGTGCTTCAGGGCCCTCCCTCAGAGTTCCCATCACCCACAAAGCCAAGCAGTTCTAACCACGGAGACTATTAACTACAGGCCTTTCTTTTCTTTCCTTTCGCTATCCTCTAGCTCATGAGTTTATCCTATCCCCACCCTGCCTAAGCCCTACCCATCTTCAAAGTCCACTCAAACACTCCCTGCGTGAGCCTACCAAAACTCCCTCCAACCAGCAACCATCTTTCCAACCTGTGGCCACTGGCCATGCTTCCACTGAACAGTCAGTTCTGAGGGAAGGACCTCAGAAGAGATTTGTTCTGAAAATCACCGTAGCATCCCAGCACTCAAGAGACAGCTATCACTCACCACATGAAAGTAAGTGATACAGCCTCCTCTTTGTTTTAGTACCCCAAAACGCAGTAAAATCGTAGTACAGAACACTTACCTTTGGTGGAGAACTCTGTACAACCAGATCAACCTCAGGGATGTCTAACCCACGAGCGGCAACATTGGTTGCAACCAGAACTCCAAAATCACCATTTCTAAAGCCTTTCAAAGTGATTTCTCTCTGCTTCTGAGGAATATCTCCATGTAATGACTGGGCATCCTGCCAAAGAAAGAAACTGGCCTAAGAACACCAGATGCAACAATACAGGACCTATTAGCATCACACATCAGGCCTGTAAAGATATTTGATCTTTGTATTTTGGTGATACTTCCACTGAAAATACAGCAAAGGGAAAAACATGTCCCTGACATGGACAAACCTCAAATTTTTTCCCACTCCGTGGTCATTAAATGAATGTCCACCTATACTCACTAGATGAAGGACCCCAGACAAGAGTGATCAAACCTACTTTGCCCATGTAGCCTTAGGTGTGAGCCACCCTTTCCTCACCTGTGAGACAAGACCGACTGATCAGGTGAGCTCTAACATGTAACCAGGGCCTATCAGTTGAAAGAGGCTTCCTCCCTAAAGGAAAGGGAGGGGAAGAACCAACCTGTTTTATGGCCACGTTCTGCGACAACTCCTGGGCTTCTTTCTTGGTTTCGCAGAAGATGATAGTGCGCCCCTGAAAACCGCTATATACTCGGATCACGTCCCCAATAACTGCTGCCCTTTGAGTCCAGTGGCACTTAATAGCCAGGTGCTTATGAGAGAGGGAAAAAAAGATGTATTTAGTGATGCCTACCTGGACCCTGAAATCACCCACTCAATGCTACTGGGGCTAGAAGCAATTTTTAAGCCTAACTAGAGCAGATCACTGCCACCACCGTGTAGGGACAACACACACGCACACACACAAACCACTGAAGCAGAGAGCCATCTCTCTCTCTCTCTAAAGTTAGTCTTTTTAAAAGGGGGGGGGGACCTCCTTTAAGAGTCTCTCTCTTGGTTTTGGCTCAGTTCATGATCTCAGGGTTGTGAGATCGAGCTCCACACTGGGCTCAGCCCACAGCATGAAGTCGCTCTCCTCTTTCCCCCACCCTGCCCCCAAACTCACTCACTCCGACAAATAAATCTTAAAGAAAAGAAAATGCAGAGAGTTTTTCCCCCTTTCTCTGGTTTCTCTATTTCCTTTCTTTTCCCTCCCTCTTTCCCTTCCTTCCTTCGTTTCTCTTTCTCTTTTCAAGTAGGCTCCATGCCTAACACAGAGCCCAACACAGGGCCTGAACCCACAACCCTGAGATCAAGAGTTGGGTGCTCAACAGACTGAGACACCCAGGAGCTCCTGGTTCCTCCATTTTCTGAACTAACTAGGAAAATGAAGAAAAAGAAACATCATTCCCTTGATTCCTACAGGAAGCCAAGTAATTGGCAAGAGAAAAATTTCTGCATGTTTTGTCCTTTTCTCCACTTAAAAATGTGGTTAGTCTGTTAGCCTGTAGGTCTGTCTATTACTTGGATGAAAGGAATTCTATGCTATGGATCCTAAAATGAAAACGGCTTTAACACAAAGTATTAGATTTCTCTGCTGCCCTCAGAGTGTTTAAGTTCTAGGTATAATTTCTTTTTACTTATATAATTCAGACAGATACAGATTCCAAAAGGATTCTGAAGGCAGACTATCAGATTATGAAATTAGAAAACCCACATACCACATACAACTCAAACAGAAACAGATCTTTACTTGGCTCTTCATGTGGATTTAGTGTTTATCTGGAAACCAGTGTATATTTGCCAGTCCTAATACCATCACACAGGGAAAACAGGACATACAGTTTATTACTAACTCTAGCAGCTGAATGAATCACTCACCTCCACAGTTATTGCCGTCTTCTGGGTCCTTTTACCAATCAGGTCCACCTGTTCATATGTAGATTTCATGTATTTCTTAGCAACATTATATACCCAATGAGGGCAAGTGGCAGAAAAAAGCAATGTTTGGGGATTGTCTTCTGAATCTTTGGGGGGAAAAAGTCGGTATGAATAACCCGAATCAGCCTACCCATATTCCACCTCACCCAGTTCTTCCAGAGTCCATCAACATGCTAGAGCGACCACGGGAGGCCACACCAAGCATTGAGGAAAAAATGAAAGACACAGAGTCCTAATGGGCAAAGAAATACTGCCCAAGTCATTGATGTGAAGGAGACTTGAAACACCAATGGTACTTTAAAGTAATTTTGCTTCCTGACCATTGGCCTTCATGAACCATAAGGGAAATCTATCTATTATGAGATATAACTGGAAAACACCTGTTCATCAAGCCCAGTAACCATCCGGTTTAGATCACTAAGCAAACATCCTACCATAAACACCGGAATAGATTCTAGACTCATCTATACTCTCCAGCAGCTCCTCAGTCTTTAGAGTTTCAGCCTATTCATTCTTTAAGGTCAGGTACTAAAAAGCGCCTCTATTTTTTAAGTTTGCTCTTTGAATAATACTGCATTTTCATATATTTCAAATGGTGGTTTAAGTAGATAGAATCCTTTGGAGAGCAAATTAACCATGTACATTGAGAAGCACGAACTATTTATACCTTTAAACTCAGTAATTCCATTACTGGACACCCATCCTAAAGAACAAATTCCATATACTGAGATGTGAAGGATGCTATATGCATAAAAACATGTGTAAGCAGAATTATTTGTATCATCTCAAAATTAAAATATATACATGGAATTAAATCATGGCACAACCTCTTCATGGGAGTGTTAATACCAAATTTTTATATGAACAGTAAAATTAAAATTAACATACATACATATGTACGATAGTACAAAGTCAGGATTAAAGAAACCAAAAGCAGGGACGCCTGGGTGGCTCAGTTGGTTAAGCAGCTGCCTTCGGCTCAGGTCATGATCCCAGCGTCCTGGGATCGAGTCCCACATCGGGCTCCTTGCTCGGCGGGGAGCCTGCTTCTCCCTCTGCCTCTGCCTGCCATTCTGTCTGCCTGTGCTCATTCTCTCTCCCTCTCTCTCTGACAAATAAATAAAATCTTTAAAAAAAAAAAAAAAAAAAAAAGAAACCAAAAGCAAAGCACACCAACTGGCAGATATGAAATTTTTCTTCTCTTACTTTCCCAAATTGTCCCCATTATAGATATGTCATAAATCATGATTTTTAAAAACTTTAAGTTTTCCTAAATAAAATAAGTCACTCCCCGATTTAAGGTTTCATTTAACATTTAGAAGCCTGCTTAATCACCGTTCTTCCTCTAAGCCCTTCCAGCAGCTCCCTGAATTTGGAGCTTACCTTTCTTGTATGCCACACTTAAAATCTCTTCCACTTGATCAGCAAACCCCATATCCAGCATCTGGTCAACTTCATCCAGGACAACATGCTTAAGTTTGGTGAGATCCAGCTTGCCATTCTGTAGGTGGTCTTTGATTCGACCTGGGGTCCCAACCAGGATATCAATCCCATTCCGCATGCGTTCAACTATAAAGAACATCAATAATAAAACATGCTGGGTTTTTAAGTCCTTTTATTAGTCCGGGGTACCAGTTAAATACATTTTTATTCTAAAATACTTATTAACCAAAAACACGAGGTAATATGCTAAGTATCAAAGATAAAGATACTCAAGGGGAAACTCAAGATAATCTAGGGGGAAGAGGTAAGAAGTGACAGTCCAGTGAATTGTGTGACATAACAGAAAAACACGGGGTGCAGGATGGAAGCACCAGGAAAGAAATTACTTCCTTGGTGGTGGAAAGTGCCAAGGTTTCACAAACAAAGTGAGAATGAGGATCTTAAAGAACTTTATATAAGGTAAGCAGGTATGGAGAGAATGAGACCAGGCAGAAGGGCAAGTATTTCCAGAAGGTCTAGAGATGTTCAGGAAAATGGAGTCCAGTATAATGAGGTGAGAGGATAATGACGCAGCTTTTTGTTGAATTGTCCTTACAGTCCAGGGGGCACACTGGGTACTCTATATACCCCTTAGCCAATTCAACCTCTCAACACCATTACCAGATGAGTTTAGTAACCTTGTTTTTTCACATGAGCAAGTGCAGAAAAATCAAACACCTTGAACTTAAAATTACACTGTGAGCAGAGTCTAGATTCAAACATAGACTTTTCTGATGCCAAAGCCCAGTTCATTTAACCAAAGCTGAGAAGAAATAATCATGAGCTTTACGTGCCAACTGCAACATTTTTAATGCCTTAAATCCTTTCGTGAAATTATTTATTTGCTCTACATAATGAAGTTTCAAGATCTTGAATTGGTTAAGTAATGGAGTCCTTCGATAGAAGCCTACATTGCAACATTTGGCCCCTGGGCCCAGAAGAAGGAAGGCCCACCTGCAGCAAGAAAGAAACAAAGACCCCAGAAGAGGCAGATTCACCGTCCTTGACAGATAAAAAGAGTAACTCTGAATCGTGACTTTCTAGTGCCAAGGGCCCAAATGGACTCTATCCTCTTAGGTTCAGTAACAGATCTTTATGGCCTTTAGATAAACATAGGTAAGTAATACAAAAATCCAAGTATCTATATGCGGGATTTGACACATCATCATGTTATGACCGTGTTCTGGACCATCTTTAAACAATAATGACAAAGAAAAATGACTAAACCAGGGAAAGCCAGATGTCGAGGTCTGAGAAATCCAACCAGGGCATCCAAAATGGTTGGCATTTTTCCTTCCCTCACTTTTGGATTTACTTACTCTGACCTCCATAGGGAGTTCCACCATAAAAACAAGCCACTGCCAGCTTTCTTGTGATGTCACTGAAGTCTCTGCTTACTTGATTTGCCAACTCCCTCGTGGGTGCAAGAACCAGCACCTGGAAAGGAAAAACTAATTATTGAATTCAAAGTACTATGCAGTATTTCTTCACAAATCTGGAATTGACAAGAAGGCTCAACTCATCCTACCAAGTATTTTAAAAAATCTATCATATGCTTTGCAACATACTTTGTGTGGGGAAGGATCATAAATGTAATACAGTCCCTGACAAATCCACTCAGAAGAAAAGTCTGTGATCCTACCAATGCCAAGGGACATAGGGCCCCAGCATGCCATGCTCCAGGAGGATTGCACAGAGCAGGCCCAAGGGTTTTCTGGAGCTGCTACTACTTAAATAGCATTCCAGGAAAGAAACAACTTGAGCAAGGAGTAACACTGCTGATGATAACAACCTTAACTATTCTTTGAGCTTTTACCATCCCAGGCTCTACTAAATGCTTACTATGCATTATTCTCACTTAATTCTCACAAGTTACTGACCCACCTACAATTGTATTGTACAATTGTACCTACAATAAACACACAAAAGATTTTGAACCAAAAAGCTAAGAAGCAAAGCCTAGACTTAAAATCAGACAGTTGGGCTCCAAAACCAATAGACTGAACCTCTACACGATAGTAAACTCAAAGTAGAACAAAGATGAGTTAAGCAGGAGCAAAATGGTGAGGAGCTTTGAATCCCAGAGCAGTCTGATTTTGACCCAACAGGACACACAATATGAAACTACTACAGATCCTTAAGTATGGTAACAGCATGAAACAAGTATGATTTCAGAATATTCACAGATTCATCAGATAATTCATCCAACAGCTATTTTCTGAATACCCACTATGTGCCAAGCTGGAATAATTCCCAGTGCTGGCATAATTCATTTGTTTAACGCTGCATTTGTTTAGAGCAATAAGCAATGAATGAATGAGGGGTGGCAGGCCAGTAAACAAGCGAGGCGGGACCTGAAAGTCAAGTGCATGAACCCATAACCAAAAGGAACACATAGGCATTTCAGTGAGGTTAAGGTTTGCCAAATGCCAGGTTCTCCAGAAATGAACCCAACGAGTACCATCCTGACAAAGAAGCTTGGCCTCTTCACCTCTTGTATGCCTCCTTCTAGTCATGCCTCTCTACTAAAATTGCTTTCACCATCTAGGTAAAAATGGTCAAAGACACCTGAGCAAACCTGTAAGCCCCAGGGACATCTAATAGTTTAAAGGGAACACAATGAGCATTAATAATACAGGTGATCACAACCATGGGGCAGATTATAGTATTTAAATATGTAGGGTTTGTGGCCAACAATCTTAAAAGAACAATCCTGCTTTAACGTCAAATAAAAACCTGTAACAGATTAAAAAAAAGACTTTAAGGAGAACCCAATAAAAAACTATAGTATATGATGTAAGCAATGCCTAAAAAGTTTTTCTCCTGTGCAGATATGGAGCCTGGGGTCTACGTTAAAGATAGTTACCTGAGGGGCACGGCCTCTTTTCCGGTCTTGCAGTTCTCCCTGAAGCTTCTCAACCAAAGGGATGGCAAAGGAGAATGTCTTCCCAGTTCCTGTCCGTGCCTGTGCAATTAAGTCTTTTCCACTATAGACATGGTGAAATGTCTTTGCTTGTATAGGAAACAGGAAGGTCACCCCACGGGCTGTGAACAAATTAACCATGTTATCTGACACTGCAGTTCTTAAAATCCCGGCCATGCTTCTGGTCCTGCAGAATTAAGGAATTCTACCTTCTGTTCAATATCTACAAAGTCAGGAGCATCTCGGTGGCTCAGTCATGAAGTGTCTGCCTTCGGCCTGGGTCATGATCCCAGGGTCCTGGGATCGAGCCCCCCATCGGACTCTCTGCTCAACGGGAAGCCTGCCTCTCTCTCTCCCCCTGCTTGTGTTCCCTCTCTTGCTGTGTCTGTCTCTGTCAAAAAAATAAAATCTTTGAAGAAAAAAAATCAGTAAAATAAAATAAAAATCTACAAAGTCAGGTTCCAACGCATTCTGGTAGTGAAGAATCTGCTGGACTAAAGAATATCAACAAACTTTAAAGCACCAAATTAGAGTAAATATTATTTTAAGAGTTTAGTCACTTGTCATGAATCTCATCCATAGGTCAAGAGAAACCCCCAGATCAGGTGCTCTGCAGTCCAGACTACGCCACACCTGATTCAGGAAACACCTACTCAAGCGTCTGTGACTAACCAGCTCAGTCACGGGCACACTGCCAGGCTGAGTGCTGGGCAAGGCTGGTATCATGAAGAGATGTCTCACCAAGTGGAGAGGATAAAAAGAAAATATGAACATGGCAGGAACCGTTTACTTGCACCAGTACAATCAGTCCTCACGTCTCTGAATACACATACTGGTTTGAATAAAATTGAATCACCTATTTAAGAGGCAGTAAGGAGGGGCGCCTGGGTGGCTTAGTTGGTTAAGCGTCTGTCTTTGGCTCAGGTGATGATCCCAGAGTCCTGAGATTGAGTCTGCATCAGAGACCCCACATTATCGGGTTCCCTGCTCAGTGGGGAATCTCCCTCTATCCCTCCCCCTCCACTAGTGCTCTCTCACTTTCTCTCTCTCAAATAAATAAAATCTTAAAAAAAAAAAAAAAGGGCAGCAAAGCCATCATTAGTACAGTCCTACACTGTCTTTACAGATCTACTGCATTGTATGGTTGCATATATTGTCCTTTATCTCAACAAAAACAGTGGAGTACTTCCAGATAAATATTCTAATATTATACAGTATTCCCAAAAATATTACCTTTGAGAAGTTTAATAGTCTGTTCAGATATGGGAAAATTAGAGAAAGCTCCTTCTTTTTGCTCCACAGGTACTTCCTATCAAGGAAAGGGCCACAGAAAGGAATCAGTAACTTCACACCTACAGGTAATCATTGAGAAATCTTCTGAGAAAGAAACAAAAGAACCAATTCTAAAACATCTGCTGTAAGTCAACCAAAAAGGCACAGAAACTCTGGTAGGTAAATCAAGATCTGAAAAGAAATATAATCTGTAAAACCCTAAGGAAAAAAAATCTGTAGCAAATACATACTGTACATATACTATGTGTGGCTAGTGAAGGCAGATTCAGTCTCAACCAAGAACTATTCCGTTGCCAACCCACAGCAACAATATAGAGTATCCCCCAACACCTTATCCACAGGGGATTTGTTCTAAGACCCCTGAAACTGTCAGAGGAGTATGAAATCTTTATATATACTATGTTTTTTCCTATATATACCCATGATAAATGTATAAAATAGGCACAATAAGAGACTAACAACAATAATAATAGAACAATTATGTATGTGGGGTCCTGGGGTGGAGCCCTGTGTTGGGCTCCCTGCTCCACCGGGAGCATGTTTTTCCATTTTCTCCCTCTCCCTCAGCAGCTCACCTGCTGGTGCTCACCCGGGCTCTCTCTCTGTCTCTCCCCCTCTATCTCTCTCAAATAAATAGCTAAAAAATATTTTTAAAATCCCTGTATTTTTACATTTCCCTTGAGATATCCTTTTTGACCCATAGATTGTTTACAAATACATAGCTTGCTTTACAAATGTTTCAGAGATTTCTGTTGTTTTTCTATTATTTCTAGTCTGATTACTATTTTCAGGAACAGATTGATTTCAGTTATTTTAAGCTTGGTCAGGGGCTCCTGGCTGGGTCAGTGGATGGAGCATGTGACTTTTGATCTCAGGGTCATGAGTCTGAGCCCCACACTGGAGGCAGAGTTTTTTTCAAAATAGGGTAAATTTGCTTAGTTTTTAACAGGACAGCAAATATAAGCAACAAAGAAAGATGAATTGGGACATCTTTTCCTTTGGCCATTCTTATAATAGAAAGACAGCTGGCAACAAATTCTCATATGCTTCTTCATATGCCCTCGTATACATACCCATGATAAATTTATAAAATTAGGCACAGTAAGAGACTACAAACAATAGTAATAGAACAATAATAACAATATACCATAATAAAAATTATGTGACTGTGGTCTCTCTTTCAAAGTATCTTCCTGTGCAACATTGACCCTTCTTGGGATGATGTGAGCTGATAAAATGCCTAAGTGATGAGATGAAGTGGGGTGGATGACACAGACATCGCCATGCCATGGCAGGCACTATTAACATTTTCTGACAGTGTGTCAGGAAGAGAACCATCTGCTCCTGAACACGGTGACAGGAAGTAATGGAAACCCTGGAGAGCGGGCGCCTGGGTGGCTCAGTTGGTTGAGCATCCAACCTTGATCTCAGCTCAGGTCATGATCTCAGGGTTAGGAGATGGATTCCTGCCTCCGCTCTGTGCTCAGCACGGAGTTGGCTTGAGATTCTCTCTCCCTCTGCAAACCCCCAACCCCGCTCATGCTCTTTCTGTATCTCTCTCTAACATAAATAAAATCTTCAAAAAGAAAAAAAAGGGAAAGGGAAAGGAAAGAAGAGAAAAGAAAAAAAGAAAAGAAACTGAAACCCAGGAAAGCAAGACATCAGATTGGGGGGGGGGGGGGGACTACTGTACTGCTGCACAGGTCACTAACTCTTTTCCACAGCCACATCTTTCACATCCATCCACAGAAAATAAGGAACAAACATTTATGACAAAGTGGTCACTGTGGCATTATTTGAAAGTAAAAAATCTAAATGTCCAATAGTGGAATTAAGTGATTTCTAAACATTTATATGATGGATTATGAAAGCATAAAAATATTTAATATTTATAAGTGGGGTAAAGTGGTTGAGATTCTCTCTCCCTCTCCTTCTGATCCTCCCCTCTGCTAGCACACACTCACTCTCTCTCCCTCTAAAATAATAAGTAAAATCTTAAAAAACAAAAACCAAAAAGAGTGGAGATCAAGAGTTGCATGCTCTACTGACTAAGACAGCCAGGCACTCCTCACTCACTTTTTTTTTTTTTTTAAGATTTTATTTATTTATTTGATAGAGATCACAAATAGGCAGAGATGCAGGCAGAGAGAGAGAGATGGGGGAAGCAGGCTCCCTGCTGAGCAGAGAGCCCGAAGCCCATCCCAGGACCCTGGGATCATGACCTGAGCCGAAGGCAGAAGCTTTATTTAACCCACTGAGCCACCCAGGTGCCCCTCCCTCTCCCACTTTTAAATAAAACCAGTAGCAATTACCTACTTGCTTATCTGAAACAATAATGAAAGATACATTCTACACACTGAAATACAACCTACCTGCTCTACTTCACTGTTACTTTCTTCCCCTGGGGTTTCACTGGAGTTGGAGACAGGTCCAGAATGAGGGAATCCATTCTTCAGTTTGGGGCTTTTCTCTCTAATTTCTCCATTCATTTCCTTTTCTTTCTTCATCTTCTTGGGCTTAGGAGCATCTATTTCTTCTTCAGAAGGTTCTTCACTTTTTACTGCCTTTTTGATTTTAGGAGAAACAACTTTCTTTTCGACGGTCTCCTTTGGTTTTTTCACACTTTTGGTTTTAGGAGAAATCATATTATCCTGAGATGGCTCCTCTTTCTTTTTTGCCTTTTTGGATTTAGGAGAACTCAAGTCAACCTCATTAGACTCGGCTTTCTTTTTAACTTTTTTAGCTTTGGGGGAAATAATTTCTTCCTTTACTTCTGTTGCCTCTTCAGTCTTATTAGATTTTGGCTTCTCTTTTCTACCTTTCTAAAAAAATTAATAAAGAAAATAAAACTACTGAGCAAAGCATGTATACATTTGTAGGGTACATCAATTCTGGATTATTTCAAGATCACATAATTATGAAGAACACAATTTGGGGGCATTTTTCAACATCTGTACTTTGACCTTGTAATTAAGTCAAAACACTGCTTTTTAGTACCATTTCTTAGCTATCTGGAAATAAGTACCATGTATATCAATGATTTCATCAGCTTAGAAAAGAATGCCTCGTTATCTATTCAATTCATGTTGGTTAAATAAGTTGTCAAGCTTTCATAGGGGATTTGGGGTGGCTCATGGGATCCTCAAGGCTCTAAACTACTTATCTATGACTACAGAAAGTGATCAAGTACATTTTATTTCTAATAGAGTATTAAGGCCATATACCTCCACAGATGGACAACACATTTCTTTCTCTGCTAGAATTCCTGTACAGGTAAACAGGGATCCATTAATACCTGTCTTGGTTATCTGACAAGTGCAAGTGAATTTACAGAGACACTTCACGAACCAAAAATCTATAAAACCCCACAATATATCACTCCATGTGTAAAAGAGATGTATCTAATTTAAGCGGGGGGCGGGGGGTGTGTCTTCACAGCAGCAATGGCCAGTCACCAAACTGTGGAAAGAACCAAGATGCCCTTTAATGCACAAATGGATAAAGAAGATAAGATACAATGGAGTATTATGCCTCCATCAGAAAGGATGAACACCTAACTTTTGTATCAATATGGATGGACCTGTAAGAGATTATGTGAGTGAAATAAGTCAAGCAGAGACAGTCAATTATCATATGGTTTTACTTACTTGTGGAGCATAAGGAATAATACGGAGGACCTTGGGAGATGGAGAGAAGTGAGTTGGGGGAAATCGGAGGGGGGAGACAAACCATGAGAGACTTGTGGACTGAGAAACAAACTGAGGGTTTTGGAGGGGAGGAGGGTGGGGGGTTGGGTGAGCCTGGTGGTAGGTATTATGAAGGGTACATAAACAATGAATTTTGGAACAGTGAAAAAAAATTTTTTTAAATATATCAAAAAGGACATAATTTCATAGTGATCTGAAGGGGCACATGCACCCCAATGTTTATAGCAGCAATGTCCATAATACCAAACTATGGAAAGAGCCTAGATGTCCATCAACAGACAAATGGATAAAGAAGATGTGAGATAGACAGATACACACACACACACACACACACACACACACGAAGGAATACTATGCAGCCATCAAAAAATGAAATCTTGCTATTTGCAATGATGTGGATGGAACTAGAGGCTATTATGCTAAGCAAAATCAGAGAAAGACAATTATCATATGTTCTCATTGATATGAGGAATTTGAGAAACAAGACAGAATTACAGGGGAAGGGAGGGGGAAATCAAACAAGATGAAACCAGAGAGGGAGACAAACCATAAAAGACTCTTAATCTCAGGAAACAAACTGAGGGTTGCTGGAGGGGAGAGGGGTAAGAGGAAAGGGGTGGCTGAGTGCTGGACACTGGGGAGGGTATGTGCTATGGTGAGCACAGTGGATTGTGTAAGACTGAGGAACCACAGGCTTGTACCCCTGAAACAAACGATACATTATATGTTAATAAAAAAGGGAGAAAATTTCAAAAAAAAAAGGGGGGGTAAGCACCATTACAAGGAAATGGAATGGGTGAAACCTCCAAACTAAACCAAACCCAGGACGATAGCGCCCACCTGAAATGTCTGACTTTTTCCAACTTTTCATAATTAACATAATTAACTTATTGAAAGTTAACTACTTAATACTACGGAAACTAAGTAGACAGGTGCTGTAGCCTCTGTTAAAACCTTTCTGAAAGGCCAATCCCAGAAGTATGATGACTATTACATGTAGCTAAAATCTGCCCCCTAAAGTTTCAGGCCCCACTTCTGCTCTCAAATCATTAATGAGGGTACTCTTTCCCACATCATCATCTTTCAAACATTTGAAAAATAATCTGGTCTCCCCACAAGACTTCAGTTTTTTCACCCCTAATCCAGGGGTCTCTTCTGGAATGTAATGGGGTTTGGCCAGGTGCCTCTTCACTTGAGCATTCCACAACTGAGTATCTTCACTGAATCGGAGCAGGTAGAGCCAGGACCTCTCCACCTGTGGGGACAAGTCTGTGCTCCCCCGCTTCCTACAATGCCAAAATATTGCTGTTGTAAAAGCTCTCCATCAAAAAGACCCATGCACAGCCAAGGAAAGGGAATTCTAAGTCATGCACCATAGGAGTTCAGGGACAATCTTTGCTCTCACTGACTGACCTTATCTCAGAACAGAATCGGTCACAAGTTGAATCACTAAGGAAGTAACAGTAAAGATGTAGACAGCAATCAAGGTAACTTAAGACCACTACACACTGCCGACCTCTATCAAAAATACGGTGTACACTCAGCACCGCAACACATCTTTCTATTTCCACGGGAAAACCTGGTCCGTACACATTAAGACGACTACTTCATGTTCTAAAGGCTGCTGGCCGGAAAACTCTGTACTTCCCTTACTACTCAAGCGTCACTGCAGACGCCGCTCACGTGTGCAGGTGGAACTGAAGTGCGGCTATGTCTAGTCCAAAGCTTCAGTGCCTACCTTGACCGACAATTCCCTCCGCACACGCTCACGCCCGGAATCAGGTCAGGGCCTGAGCCAGCAACGTGGGGCCCGAGCCTGCACATCCGAGTGCCCGACTGCTGGGCACTCAAACTCCCGAACCACGTGCGAGCGGCGCTCAGCGTAGCGCCAGACCGCCCCGGCCGCTCGCTCGGCCCCCGCCCGCGGAGGGTACGGCCCCCTGGCACTCCAGCGGTCGGCCCCACGCTGGGCTCCGGACGCGCCAGGTCCGCGTGCGCGCCACGGGCTCCCAGCCCGGCACCCCACCCCGCTTCCGTACCCAGCTCCTCTCAGCGTCCCGGGTACCGAGGGCCTCGGTGGCACCCTCTCACCTGCTTTCGCGGTATTTCCACTTTTTCCATGGCCGTGTCTGAGTCCAAGTCCGCGTCACTGAGGAGTTTGCCCGGCATCGCTCAGCGCAAGCAGTTGAGGCCGACCGGCCAGGTCCACCGCGTGGAGAGGAAGAGACGGTACCACCCGTTTGGAGCGCCCACCTTCGTCACTTCCGGTAGCAAAGCAGTTCCTGCGGACGCAGAAAGTCCCAGGGCGGCGGGAGCCCACGTGGTCGCCAAAGAGTAGTGGCTGCTCCGCCTGGTGAGGGATGGTGGTGAATTCCCCGCTCACCGCTCCCGGACTTGAAAGCTCGGACTGGGAGGAACCGCAAAGGCTGGCAACCAATGATTCTCCCTAGCCCTGGCCTGTTAAATGACCTGTTGCTTTTACGTAGTGTTCTTCAGTGCTTTATGTAACATTGCTAGAGTTTGCAAGATCTTTCACGCCCAGACGCGGCAAGTGTGTATTTTTTTTTTTAAAGATTTTATTTATTTGACAGACAGAGATCACAAGTAGGCAGAGAGGCAGGCAGAGAGAGAGAGAGGAGGAAGCAGGCTCCCTGCAGAGCAGAGAGCCCGATGTGGGGCTTGATCCCAGGACCCTGGGATCATGACCCCAGCCGAAGGCAGAGGCTTTAACCCACTGAGCCACCCAGGCGCCCCGCAAGTGTGTATTCTTGATCACCTTGTGGAAATGACACTGAGAGGAAACACCCAGACTCACAGCCTGGGTAAGAACTAGAATTCAGTCGGGCTTTGGTCATTCCTTTATTCGTGCACATAGACATCCCCTGAGCATTCACTGTGATGTCAGGTGAGAAACAAGGCTAGGACCCAGTAACGGACAACACACAAGAGGTGTCATCAAGAAACTTTATAGACTGGTGGGAGATGGACGGATATCAGCTGTTCCGAAGACACACGGAGGCACCGGAATCGCCTTTGGGACCAGTAGAAAGGGCGCCCAAACCACACGGACCTCTATAAGAAAATACAGGGCTCCAAATCTTGCATATGTGGGCAATACACTAATTCAAGGAGTTGAGGAAAAATGGTCCATTGAATGATGTGTGACAAAGTCGCTAAACTTCTCTGAAGAACTAGTGATCCAAAGAATTGGGAGCCACTTCCACACAAAATCATTTTTGGAAATCAGTTGAAATAGTGCCTGGCTTTGAAAACGTGCAGGTTTTCAAAAAAACCTGCTGGTTCTGTGATTTTGCACACATTACTTAATCTGAATCGGAATTTCTTATGCATGAAATGGGGATAACAAACTTAACCTCATGGGCTGAGAACGTTGAGATAATGAATGAAAAGGGTTTAGTAGTGCCTAGGACATAAAGCACGATAATTGAGAGCTATTAAAACTTGTACGTATTTAGAAAGACAGCTTAAAATATAATCATTTTCATAAAATGAAATCAAAGGAAAATGCTATTAAGTTTTATTTCTGTATTTCATACTATTAATTTTTACTGCACATTTTTAAATGACAGTTTAAAGGAAAATTTCATGTTTCACATAAACTATTGATGTTTCACAGTCTCAGTTTTTTAACAAATTATGTACTACAGCAATGCTTTAACTTATACTCTGATATCTTTAAGCTAGGAGCCTTGATTTATCCATCTTTGTATCCTGAAGATTTCAAATAGCGCCTGGTACATAGGCACACAGATTGACACTAAATGTTGATTGACCTTTAAAATGGCAATGTTGGGGGCAGGGGTGAGGAAGGAACTCCTTGAGATGAATTTTAGCTATATGCCCAGGCAGGAAAGCAATTCAGTCATCCTGGTATTAGGTGTGGGATAAGGGGGAGCAAGCATGAATGCAATCAACCAACTGACAAAAAAGGCTTAACATCTAGGACTTCAGCATTGTACTTCAGACTTCGGAGTACCTAAGTGAAGGCCCAGTCCCTGCCTCAAGGAACCTCTGTGATACTGCCATGATACTGCTAAAAATAGTACAGGTGCATTTGTATTATCAATAAGAGGGTAAGCCTGGAACGCTACTTAATGGAAAATTGTTATCAAGGCTTACGAACTATGTAAATTCCTTTGTAATATACCTGCACACAGGCATGAGGCCAAAATCTAAGAGGAAGCATGCAAAGGCTCCCTCTGGCTTAAAGGCAGCCAAAGGCCGGTATTAAATCTAGTTATCAGTATAAAATTCAGTAACAAGTGGGAAAAAAATGAGTCTCGTATATACATCTGATTGGAAATGTGAAGTTCTGTTTGGATATTGATTCTGCCAGACCAGTTTCCTCTGATGTAGAAAATGTAGTATTTTCATAAAATTGGGGGAAAATTTGTTTCAAAAAGTATGCATACATAACACGCATACCTACAGTGATTCAGAAATCTACACAACAATATGATATCAGTAATTATCTGAGTGATGTGATTATGGATAGCTTTATTTTCTTCCATTTGCTTCTCTATTTTTTTTCAAATTTTCAACAGTGGATGCACATTACTAATATGAAAAAAATATGGTTAAAGATACTTACTAAGCACTGCCCACAAAACATATGAAACAAAAACAATGAGAGAAGCAGCTCTCAGACATTCACACCTAAATGTGAACTCATTTAAATTTCTAATGCTGAAGGGAATAAAACAGATACTTACAGATTTAAAACCTGAAGATCAGGGTAACTGGTTTAATTGAATTCTAATAGCTGTTAAGTGACCACACTAGGGCACAGAATACCAAACAGGAGGCTCTGAATCGCCAAAAGGAAGCATGAAGGTGCTGGGCTCTGTGAGATAGGAGCAAAATGAAGGGCTGAATGCAGCCCAAAGCTGAGAATTCTCCACGCCCACCCCCCCTTCTTCTGGAAGGTATGGAAAGCTATTACTAATCTTGTCAGGACCTGCCCCACTTCCCGTGCTCATAGGAAAACCAGCCTTTAGCAAGTGGACCCCTAATATCTACCTCCACTCTGCTAGTGGTTACCTACATGCTTTTCTTCTTCACTCACTTCCCTGACACTCTTCAATGTCTGTCCTAAACAAGGCCTACAAGGCCTTCCAAGATAATGACTCTTGTCTTGTTCTCATGTCCATTCCCACTTCCCACTTCTTTTACCTGACTGAATTCATGTTCAATCATCACACCCAAAAGCTTTCTCTAAACTCCCACCCCCATTCCTGGACTGGGCTGGGTGCCCTTGTGTAGAGCTCTCAAATTATTGCACTTAGTCACTGCCGTGGACCTAAGTTTATGTGTCCATCGATTTCACTAGATTCTAAGCTCCTGAGGCCAGAGACCAGACACACCTTACCTTTGTACCCCAAACACAGTGCCTGGGATACTGTAGGTATACGACTTACCCAGACTAAATTACCAGTATTCGTGCACCCTTGTAGGAATGGAGCCCCTTTCACCTTTCATATAAATCCAGAGCTCACTACTACTCAAATGCAGAGGTGAGACTTTCTTCCCCCAAAGAAAGTTATCAGGAACCCCATTGCCCATAATCAAAATTTCTCCCTTAGTTATCTGGAACCCCATTGCCCATAATCAAAATTTCTCCCTTAGTTATCTGGAACCCCATTGCCCATAATCAAAATTTCTCCCTTTCTTAATCTTATCTAGAACTGAGTCCTTTACAACTCCCCAGCTTAACTGCAATCTGGCCCTTCTTGAAAAATACTCCTCCTGCAACTTTCCCATGTATATGTTGCTCATTCCCTACATCCCGTGTACCCTGGTATTAGTCTTCTCCTCCAAACCATTTCCAAACTAATACTCCTTCAGTATCATGTAAACGCCCTTGTCCCTTTGAGGACATGTGGCAATATCACCCTATGAGGAAGAGTCCTCATTCTGGTAACCTAACCTCCACCATTCATTGATAGCTTGGCACCTGGCTTATTCTTCCCCTCCCTCCTCGGTCTGGAGACTTCACCGTCCATAAAACCACCTGTGCTAGCTTCTCTGTTCTTTAACCATCTCAACTGAAATGACCTACACCCCCATCGGCCTACTACCAAACCCCACACTTGTCTTGTCCCGAAGTGCTCCACTCCTGAAATTTCAAATTCAGACAGCTCTCAGTGACCTTCAGTCCCCTGTCCCTTCCACATTCTCCCTGTCATCAACTCCACCTCCGCCTCAGTTCTGAGGCAGTCTAGACTCCATAGCCCATTACTCCAGTAACTTTTGCCAAAGTCCTTAATATATCCACCTTGTCATCCTTTCATGTCGCAGAGCAAACCCCAATCCTAGATCAATCATCTCCCATCTCCACCCCTACAACAGAATATTGAGTATCACCACAGGAAATCCCTCAAGTGCTCTAATTGCTGCCACTACACATTCAGTCTCTAACGTCACCTGGACCCTCAAAGCTGCCTGTTAACACCAGTTTGCCTAGTAAGCTCTCCATCTTGCTCTACAGCTGATGCCTCAGCATTTCTCCCATCTCCTCAGATCTCTGAGCCTGCTACTTTCCTCTTCACCCTCAGCAGACGACCATGAAAGAATACCACAGGGGAAAAAAAAAAAAAAGACATCAGGCAGGAATCTGTCAACTTTTTACCTTAACACCTGCAAATTCACCTACATGATAAACATTTCTTCTTGGCAAAATGTTAAGAGATGTGCTTCTCCCACCTAAGATCAAAATCTCCAGTGTGTGCTTAAAGCTCATCCTTCCAGGTCTTCATAGGGATCTTGCTCCATCATATATTTTCCCTTCATCCCTCCTTTCTAATTCCTTCCCATAGTAGTTCATCCTCTGATTTCCCTCATCCTCCCCCAACACACACATACAAAAAACTGTCATCTCATGTCCTTTCTTTTACATCCAGCTTTAGCTTATTCTTCCTTACTTCACAGCCAAATTTCTGGAAGACATGTTTGCTCTCCCTAGTGCTTTCTCTCATTTCTTGCTGAGCCCACTGATAAATGGTTTCTACTCTCCATACTTTATTAATATGGTTGCTCCCCATGTCACATGTCTTTTTGCCAAATCCAGTGGGCATCTCAGGTTCATCTTCTGGTTCCTCGGAAAGCCTCATACTCCTGGGCTTTCTGCTGCCTTCTCACCTCTTCTTGATGGTAATGGGATTCCCTTCCTCTGCTATGCAGTAAATACATTTTTCTGTCTCTGAGTTCCTCCCTAGTCCTCTTTTCTTCCTATA